TGTGTGTGTGTGTGTGTGTGTGTGTGTGTGTGTGTGTGTGTGTGTGTGTTTTGAAAGCTGGGAATGTAGCTCAGCTGTAGAATAGCATTGGCATGCAAAGCCCTGGATTTGATCATCAAAATTTCAAAAAGAAAAATACATAATATACACATATATATTATATACATGAAATCACTGTAGAAACAGAAAGTTTCAGCAATGTGAAAAGCACCTAAGGACTAACACCTAAGGGTGTCCTCTGACATCTACAGGCTTACCATATACATGTGCACCCTCCCCCAACAATGTGTGTGGAGAGAGGTCAGGAAGTCCAGAGTGAATATGTATTGTTGACATGGACACAGCTGTCAAGGATCCTAATGCCTTAGACTCATGGGAGTGGCAAAGCCATCCCTGGTTGAGGCTCAGAGGAATTGGCAAAACCCAAATAATGACACAGAGACTTACATTATGAAAGCTCAGCCTTTAGCTTAGGCTTGTCTCAACTAGCTCTTACAACCCATTTATATTAGTTTACGTTCTATCACATGGTGTGACTTCTCTTCCATCTTGAACCTCTTGTTTCCTCTCTCTGTCTCCTGGCTTCTCCTGCATGCCTAGATTCCTCTTCCTTTCTTTCCCCACAAATCCCACTATACCTCCTACATCACTATTGGTCATTCAGCTTTTATTATACCAATCACAACAATATACCTTCACACAGTGTACAAATATCCCAACAATTTACTATGTTATATTTTTATCATTATTTTAGTGTATTCTGTTTACTATAAAACACTATACTGTTTTAGTCAACAGCAGTCTCATATGCACCCCCCATTTCATAAAGATTGATTTATTTTTAATTTAGGTGTATGAGTGTTTTGCCTGCATGTGTGTATGTTCACTACGTGCATATCTGGCACCCACATAGGCCAGAAGAGAGTGTAGGATTCCCTGGAACTGTGGTTACAGATAGTTGTGAACCACTGCATGTGTGCTAAGAACTGAACCCAGGTCTTCTCCATGAGCTGCTGCTCTTAACCACTAAGCCATTGTCCAGGTCCTCATACTTCTTAAATTTATTGCATCTCTTGACGTTTACCATCTTAGTTTGTGTAATTACTCTGTGATGCTTGTACAATGATGGAATTATCTACTGATGCATTTATCAGACCATACTCCTGCAGTTTAGACACAAGACCATGTATATGTCTGTGGGGAAGAGGGATCAAAATTAGATTGTTTCTTCTGCAAGTTTGTTGAACTATTATTCAGATGTTAGACTTATTTTTATCTTTTATGTAACTACTCTTTGTTACCATTTCTACTTTCTAAAAAATTATTTAGGGGCTAGAAAGATGACTCGGTGCATAAGAAAGCTTGTTGCTCTTCCAGAGAACCTGAGTTCAGTTGCCAGCACCCACATTGGGAAGTTCACAATCATCTGTAATTCTAGTTCCAGGGGATCTGACACCCAATTCTGGCCTCTACAGGCATCCATGTGTGCAGATACTCATACACACATACACACACACACCTTTAAAAATCATTTGGGAGAGCTGGAGAAATGGCTCAAGAGTTAAGAGCAGTAACTGCTCTATCAGATGACCCAGGTTTGATTCCCAGATGGCTCACAACTGTAACTCCAGTTCTAGGAGATCTGATGCCCTCTTCTGGCCTTCTGGGCACCAGGTATGCATATGGTGCACAGATATAAATGCAGGTAAAACACCCATGCACATTAAATTAAAACTAAAAAAAATATTTAGGAGCTGAAGAGATAGCTCAGGGGTTAAGAGAACATACTACTCTTGCAGAGGACCTGGGTTCAGTTCCTATTACCCATATCAAGTGACTCATAACTACCTGTAAGCCTAACTCAAGGGGATCTGATGCCCTCTTCTGTTTTCTTAGGGCTCCCTAAAATACATGGTGTGCATATACATATAAATAAAAGTAAAAAATAAATAAATAGGACATAAAGAGATGGCTTAATAGTTAGGAATTATTGCTGCTCTTCCAGAGGCTATGAGTTAAAAATACCAGCAGCCAGCCCAGCAGTGGTGGCGCACGCCTTTAATCCCAGCACTCGGGAGGCAGGGGCAGGCAAATCTCTGTGAGTTCGAGGCCAGCCTGGTCTCCAAAGCGAGTCCCAGGAAAGGCGCAAAGCTACACAGAGAAACCCTGTCTCGGAAAAAAAAAAAACCAACAGCCATGTAAGGCAGCTCACAACCACCTATAACTCCAGCTCCAGGGGATCCTGTGTCCTCTTCTGGCCACTGGCCACTTTCCTTCAGGCATTTAGAGACAGACAGAGACAGACAGACACACACACACACACACACACACACACAAATAGAATCTTTTTTAAAAAAGATTTATTTATTTATTATGTATACAGGAGAGGGCATCAGATCTCATTACAGATGGTTGTGAGCCACCATGTGGGTGCTGGGAATTGAACTCAGGACCTCTGGAAGAGCAGTAGAATAGAATCTTTTTTTAATGATAAAGAAAAAATAAATGTAAAAAATTTGTTCTATACCTATGTCCTTTAAATATTACTATTAAAATTTACATTAAACATTTTAAAAAATAACTGGAGAAAAACATTTTTACTGCCAACCTCTATTGTTTTAAATTTGCACATATTCTAGTATTTGCATGGAGTTCTGTATTCTATGAAATGAAAAAAAAAACAAACCAACCTCTTTTCCTTCTCTTTCAAATTGTTTTATTCTGCATATAATTTCTTTTGCTGCTTTCCAGTGCTCTTCAAGATTCTCTTTTTCATTTATGTCCTTTAGTTGGTCCGCTTCATTTTCATCAAAAGAATTCTCTCCTAGACTTAGAGATAATTTCTCAGCTTTGTAATATAGGATGCATGGGGGGGTGGGAGGAGAGACAGGGGAAGGGGATAGTAAGTTTATCATTACTAGAAATGTTATTATTACACTTTAAGGACAACTACATATTCCACCCCATCCCATCTTTAAACTGTATGTTCTTATACAATAACTGGTACTGAAAATAAGTGGAAAGAAGGCAAAGCATGGGCCTGGGACTTAGTCAAATAGTAGATTCTACTTTTCATAGTTTTGGAAAATAACACATGAAAATGTTATTTCAGATACAAGGTTACTAGCTTTAAAGTAGTTTGTTTAGAATGCAAAAATTAAAGACAAGGTCAGTCATATGCTAAGTATATACTCTATCACTGAGCTACCTCTCTAGTCCAAAAGTAGATTGTTTTGGTTTGGTCAAGTTCATTTACTTGATATAAGTTAGAGTCACCTGGGAAGAGGGAACCTCAACTGAGAAAATGCCTCTATCAGATTGCCTGTAGACAAGTCTATGGAGGCATTTTCTTGGTTAATGATTGATATAGAAAGGCCTAGATCACTGGAGGAGGTTCTATTCCTGGGCAGGTGGTCGTGGGTTATATACAAAAGCAAGCGGATCAAGCGATGTAAGCAGTATTCCTCCATGGTCTCTGATTCAGTTCCTGTCTCCAGGGTTCCTGACTTGAGTTCCTGTCCTTACTTCCCTCAACAAGGGGAAGGTACTGTAAGGTGTAAGCTGAAATAAACCCTTTCTTCCTCAAGTTGCTTTTGGTCATAATGCTTATTACAACAATAGGAAGTAAACTAGGGGACATAGATATGCTTAAAACACAGTCTTTTTAAAAATTTATTATGTCCATAGTTTTTCATTCACAAAGAATTCTCATAGCTACCACCAGCTCTCTGGGCTCCAGCTAGACTGCCCATCAATTCTTTGAATACACCAGTCCCCTTCCTAAGCTAGGATCTGTTGCTTAGGCCTGAGCCATTTATAGCCCATTTCCTCTTTTCACACAATTAACTCTAGACATTTAGATTTCTGTTCAAGAATTACTTTCTTCCTATAATTTTGGGTCCTTTCTCCCAAAACCTTTACTGCTTTAAATCTGGGTCAGATCACTGTAGCTGAAGTTTTCCTGCATCCCGGCCTGCTGGCAGTCGGGACAAATCTCTCCCACTTGTGTCCCCCAAGTAAACATAAAAGACTCATATTACTTATAAACTCTATGGCTGTGGCAGGATGCTTGCTATCTGTTCTTATATCTTAAATTAACCCATTTCTATAAATCTATACCTTGCCATGTAGCTTGTAGCTTACCAGTATCTTACATCATGCTTCTCCTCATGATGGCTAGCAGTGTCTCTCTGCCTCAGCCTTCCACCTCCCAGAATTCTCTTCTCCTTGTCCCGCCTACACTATCCTTCCTGTCTGGCTACTGGCAAATCAGCGTTTTATTTATCAATCAACTATAGCAACAGATCACTTTGCTATAGTGTATTGCTAAGTATTCAGAATATTCTCCCTCACAATCTTTATATCAATTTATAATAATATCTAATTTTAGTTTTTAGAATTATTATTTCTTTACTCAGACTAAACTTACAGACCCACAGTTTACTTATAACTCTACCCTCAATCTCAATGCCTTTCATGGTACTTAGCATATAACAGAAATTCTAATATTTAGACTAATGAACAAATGTACTTTATATTATGATTTAGAAACAAAACACGAGGCATAAAATAAGTGAATTTCCTCAGCTTCTGCTATCTGGATGTTCTCTTTTACATAGGCTTGAGCACATTGAAAATACTCTAATTGTCATTTCCAAATTATATATGCTCCTTTCAAGCCCAAAAAAAATAATTTGGAATCTAAATCATTAGAGTACATACAAATTCCTCTTTAGCAACTTCCTTTCCTTCCTTTCTTTTCCTTTGGAACAGAGTCTTACTATGTAACTCAGGTTGGCTTTGAATACACAAAAACCTGCCTGCTTCTGGTCCTGAAATTAAAAGTTGTTTGTCACTATACCTGGCCGTTGATATTTCAATTTTTGTTTGTTTGAGATAAGAGTCTTACTATGTATCCTTGGCTGGCCTGGAACATCCAGTATAGATACTGGCCTTGATCCCTAAGGAATCTGCCTGTTTCTGCTTCCCAGGGCTAGGATAAAGGTGTGCATTACCATGCCCAGCTAGTTGATATTTTCCTAAAGTAACAGTAAACTTACTAATTGTTTTGCAGTTTTGAAGCACATAAGTGGCAGCTTTGTTTAGTTCTTCATTATTAAATTCAGTTAAGGCTTGTATCATTAGTGGCAGCCCATTGCTTTTTAAAAGTTCATATTGATTTTCCTCTGTAAAAATATCAAAAATTAAAATGGTAATTATTTTTCATAAAGTTTATAAAGCTTTGTATGAGGCCATGATTTATCACTGTGATAATTATGAACAAAATTCAAACTTTAAAATAAAGAATATAATTTCAAAGCTATTTTCCATTTATTAATCTGTTTACAAAAGGTACCAAATTCTCATAAATGATGATTTCTAAAATGTTGCCACAGTGTACCACACCTCATAAGAGATAACACATAGCTCTCATTTGGTTTTAAAAAAAATGAAGTGTAGGGACTGAAAGATGACTCAGTGGTTAAGAGCACTTGCTGCTCTTGCAGAGGACCCAAATTTGGTTTCCAATACCCACATCAAGTGGTTCATAACCACCTGTAACTCTAGCCCTCCTCTTCTGGCCTCTGTGGGTACCCAGAGACACACATATACATATGCATAAACAAAAACATTCTTAAAAGGTTAAGAGAAAGAATAGAGAAATTGATAAAGGAAACAAAAACTAAGGAAAGATTAGATGAAACAAGAGAGAGAAAAGAGAGGAGAAAAAAGTGGGAAAGTGCGAGGAAGGAGGGAAATGGTTAGAAGAGAGGAAAGTGAAGATTGTTGGAAAGATGGATTAGAGCAAGACTGGGATGGAAATAGAGTAAACACAACCTTTGAGAGTTTTCACTGAAGGTTAGAAGAACTGGCCTTTCAAGGTTTTCAGTGAGGGAAAACAGGATCAGATTTGTATACTGACTCAGCAAGAAGACTGAAAATCGAGAGAGTCAAGGAGGAGCAGATGAGGTAGCTGTTACAGTCGTACTGGTGAAAGGCAATAATGGGCTGGGGGCAATGGGAAGAAACATGGAGTGAGAAAGAAGTACAACCAGAGGCCTTCGTGATTAATTGAACATAGTATGAAAAAGAAAATAAGGAGCTTTAATGACTGGGACAAAAGCTGGATTTTAAGCCTTTCATACAATAAGAGGAGAAAGAAGCAAAAGCATGTTTCCACCCCACTGTTTTAGTACACACACTGAATTAAATGAATACTTACCACAATCCTCTGTGCAGTGACCAATGGCAAGTATGATGCTAAATTTTTCTCCTGAATCAAGACTTTCATGAAGCAGTAATGCCAGAAGTTTTGAAACAATGTGGTATTTGGATAACACCACTGAAAAGGTAGCTACTAGTTTAATACAGGGGAAAAAAAGGTACAAATTTAAGATTTCTAAGTATACAAGTACTATATGTTTTAGAGCTTACTCAGGGAGAATATCATATGCCTATATATTACCTAATATATACATGTCATGTAGTATCCAATATATGTGTATACATGTCAATTTAAACAAACACATTATAATAAGAAAATGGTTTATGGTCCTCATTATTTACTCTCTGTTTTTGTTTTGAGACAGCATTTCTCTATGTATTCCTGACTAACCTGGAACTCTCTATGTAAACCAGTCTGGCCTCAAACTCACAGAAATCCACCTGCCTCTGTCTCCCTAGATTAAAGGTATGCATCATGACTAGTCTTTTAGTTTTGTTTTGGTTTGGGGTTTTGGGTTCGTTCTTT